GTTAAGATTCTACATCAACTTTTGACAAAAATCCTTAAAAAAATGGAGATAAATGAAACATACCTCAACATAATAGGCCATATATGACAAATCCACTGCTAGCATCACACTCAATGATTAAACACTGAAAGCTTTTCCTCTAAGATCAGGTGCAAGAGCAGGATTTCTACCTTCATGACTATTATTCAAAATAGTACTGGAAATCCCAGTTAGAGCAATTAGGATTTCAAATTGGGATAGAAATAAAGCTATCACTATTTAGAGATAAATGATAATATACATTTTTATCCTTAAAGACTACATTAAAAATTTGATCGAAAAAGTGAGTCAATTAGCAAAATGACAGGTCACAAGTCAATTCACAAAAATCAGTTGTATTCCTATATGCAGACAACTAGAACAGAAATAAATCAAGAAAAACAAACATATATAATTAAATAAAAAGTAGCATAAAATAACTAGGAGTAAACTTAACAAAAGTGATGAATAATTATACAATGGAAATTCTAAGGTTGTTAGAAGAAGTAGCAGTCACAAAAGAAGTAAAAAGATTATTTCTCACTCATGACTTGGAGGAACTCACACTGTTAAAATGACCATACTCAAAGCAATATATAGATGCAATACAAATTCTGTCAAAGTTTCAACTACATTTTCCCCAAAACAGTAGATTAAATGTAAATGAAATTTATGGGAAACTACAAAAGACCATGAAAAAGCAAAAGCAATTCTCACACACACAAATGACAAATGTTAGCCCCCATGCTTGAACTTCAAAAGTATCCCACAAAACTACAGTAATCAAAACAGTACAGTACAGGAATTAAAAAAAAAAAATGACATATAGATCAATGGAATAGAATTGAGAGTCCCGAAATAAACTAAAAATGAAACTAAATTACTTCTTCACATCACATACAGGAGATAACCCAAAATGGATTTAACACATAGAAGGTAAGGCGTAAAACCATAAAATACATGGAAGAAAAAACAAGAGAGAAAGGGCACTCCATTATACTGACTTCAGTGATGACTTTGGAGACTGGATACTTATTGCAAAAAGCAAAAATAAACAAATGGAACTATGTCAAACTGAAATGCTTCTGCATGGTGATATTAACCATCATTAAAGACACCTACTGGGAGAAAATAACTGCACAACTTACAATGGGAAAAAAAGGCTACTATCTAAGTTCTACAAAGAACTCACACAACAAAAAGAAATCAAATAGCCTAGTTTGAAAAAATGGGCAAGAGAGCTAAGTAGACGCCCTTTTATGATAACCTCCAAAAATACATACAGATGGCCCACAGACATGTGAAAAAAATAATCAGGGTAATGCAAATCAAAACCACAGTGAGATAACAGCTTACACATGTGAGAATAGCCATAACAAAAAGATCAGAAACATGTTGCCAAGAATGTGGAAAAAAGCGAGCTCTCCTGCTAGTGGTGGCATTATAGACTGGTCTACCTGATGGAAAATTGTATGTAAATATACCATATAACCCACCAACTGCACTCCTAAAAGGAATCTCATCCTTTCCAAAGGATGAAAAACTACTGATGTAAAGGGATATAGGCACTCCTGTGTACACTATAATGCTATGTATTATAGAAACAAACTTTTCATGACAGAGGAGTGGATTAAAGAGTTATGACATATATACCCAATAGAATACCATGCAGCTAGACAAAATAAAGTGAATTTTTGCCATTTGCTATTTGGAAGGAAATGGAGGGTATTAGGCTAAATGAAGTAATTGCTGGACAGCTTCACTTACATGTAGAGTGCAGAGAAATATAACAAAGGATCAGACAAAAACAGACTAATCATGAACTCTATAAATTTGACTGCAGAATATTAAAGGGGGAAGGAGAGGGTGGAGAACAGAGTGTGGAGGGCCCCAGTGGCCTACAGTTTCCTTGGAGGTGAGATTATTGGTGTTTTGGTGGTAGGTGTGGTACAGTAACATACATCTGAAGAACTGTGAATCTCCAAATCACAGCACTGTTAACTAGTTAATGTTCATCTCAATTTAAGAAAGAAAATAATTATGCCACTAAGGTAGAAAAGAATTGAGACCAGAAAAAAACTCAGTAATAAAAATGTGGTTGACTTCAGACTACATTTTGCAGGACGAGATGACGGGTTTTACTGTAGGTAACAGGCAAAATGAAGACATCAAGGAGAATTTCATTTTTTTTTTAGTCCAGCAGCTGGAAGAAAGGACAGGAGACTACTCAAAAAGCTCCTTTTAGAGGTAAGAGGCAAGTTAGCTTTGGGGATATGTCTAACTTGAGCTGTTCGTCAGACATCCAAGTGGAGATGAGGAACACAAAGTAGACTTGCAAGTCTGAGTGAATGTGGGAACCATCAACACAGGTGGCTTTTACAGTGTGGATGTATTCAGAAAGATTAAGGACCACAGCCCCTGGGTACTAAGGGGTTGAGGAACTCACAAAGCAAAACTGAAAAAATAGCTAGTACATTCTAGGGTAATACGCAGACTAGAAAGTACACCGTCTAGACATACAACATCATCTTCTCCCCTACACACAGAGATATCTGAAGTATTGCTAAGCAACAACCCATCTCTATTATAAATGTAATGATCTAAAATTTTTTTAAGCATGTTAATATCCAATTTCAGGATAATAATCAAAACATAAATTCAAGAGTCTATTGAACAAACTGATCAGAAACTTAAATTCTTATGTTTGCTATAATAACTAAAGATGTAAAGAAGTAAAAAAATTTATTCTAGAGAATAATTTAAAATTACAAAGCAAAATTAATTTTCTAGGTGTCTTCTACATACAAGATAATACTATTTATGCAAATTTAAAAGTCAAACATTAACATGTACATGTTTGTTAATGAAATAAAAGGCAAGTCCTTAAAGGCAGTCAGAACTTGCCTCTGGGAGGGAAACTAGCAATGAGCGAAGGACACAGCACCTATGAGTCAAGTCTGAATTCATGAAAAAGACTTGAAGCAAATGTGAGAAAATATTAATAATCATCAACTCTAATGTGAATACATGAGTATTTAATAAAACATGTTGCAATCTTTTTTTACTGAAAAACTTGTTTTCCTTTTTTGTTGAGATAGCATTGACACCAGAGAGATCTGAGGAGTGAGTGCATCTTCTCTGTGACTGCATACACTGAAAAGTTTTTTTAAAAACATGAAGGATAATAATGAGAAGAAAATAAGGTCATTTGTTTAAAAACCAAATGTTTAGTTCACTACCCCTGTATTCCAAGCATATTATAACACAAAATAGAGGAATAAAAAAATACCTTTCACATTTCATATTGTAACCTCTAATTTGTGACTTTCTTAGTCTGTGAATAATACATATTCTTTCTGAAACTAATCATTTTTCCTAGCATTTCAATTCTGATTTTCTCAACATAACAACAATAAATCAAAGTAAGTAATAACTGGAGATTGTTTTCCACTTAAATGGTTAATTTTAATTGCATTGTATAGTTACTAAGAATTGAAAATAGATTAAGCTGCTTATAATGAAAGTGAATTCTAGATAAACTAATTTTATAAAATGTGTCTTTAAACAAAGACACTGACATAGAATTTTTGGCAACTAAAGAATCAGTTATAATATACTTATAGAACAAGATATTGAAACACATGTGATATGAACTAAATCCTCATTAAACATTAAGTAGCCTTATTGTCCTAGATTTGCTAGGATTATTATTTTTCTTTTATTAAGTACATATCAATTTATACCCCAACAAAGGTAAAAGACATCCTTTCTTTGTGCTTATGATAGTGAATTGTATTAACTGTAACCATTTCAGAGGTGAGTCATTTTTCTTGCATATTTAGAAATAAATTCAGGTTGATTCATTTAATACTGTCACTAGTTGTTAGTAAACTAAAATGGAACTGATTTTTCTACCTATATTTTCAATGATGTCCTCACCATTTCTATGTATCAAACTAATACATATTAAATAAACATGGAAACAGTGAATGTTTAGAGAATTTTTAAAAAACAACAGGGTTTGTCTTTAAAAAACATATTTGTGATGGATTTTTGAGTTAAGAGATTCATACAAAAGGATAATACTAATCTCTGATTAGTCAAAACAGATAAGGTTTATTTTCTTTCAAAATAGGTTAAAAATAAAAACTTGTATTTGTTGGGTTAATATTGTTAAGAAAACAACCAGTTAACTTCTTCAAAATAACAAACGTTTTTGCGGAAGCAAACAAATGTTTTATTTCACAAACATTTCCGGAACAGCTGTTATGTGCAAGGCACTGCACCAAGTGCTGTGGATGAAGTAATTATTATTCAGTCATATATTCTGCTCTTGATCTGTTCAAGGTTCTTAGTATGGAGGTAAAGTAAACACATATATAATCAAAAAATAAAGCAGAAAGGGATTCAATACTTTCATAAAGCCATTTCAATACTTTGAAGTCAAGAAGGGAAAATTGCTTCCAGCAAGTGATGTGGAAAGGGAAAATCAGAAGCTTCATGAAGGCAGCAGATTTGAGCTAGATATTGAAGAAAGTAAGATTTCGAACAATGCAGACTGGGATTCACTCTTGGGTTGGGTTCAAGGGCAATTTTAAGTTCAATGTAAGTCACGAAAGCAGAAAATGCAAGTGTCAGAATTGGTGAAAGAAATGAAAAGTAGGACGAAAGGTAGTAAAGCAGTGGATGATGCAGGATGTAAGGTAAATGGCTCCCAATTTACTTGGCAGCAAATGATAACCAATCAAACACTTGGAGCACAGTAGCATGACCAGAAACACACTCAGGAAGACTGTCTCAATGTGAAAAGGGGTAGATGGAGAGGATGGAAGACACATTTGAGAGGAAAATGAACTAGGGGGTCAATCATTTGGTACCAATAGGAGATAATGAAAATAGGAACCAAGTAGAAATAGTATGGATGCAAAAAGAAACAGTACATTGTAAATAGCATTTATGTAAAATATGGAATAAACCCTTACCTGATTCTTCTGTATCTTGTTCATCTATTAAACCTACTGAGACGCCTAAATCCACACATTTCTTGCTATGTGTCTTGGACTTCATGTGCTTTGTCAGATTTCCTTAAGGGAAAAGAATGTTTACTAAGCTTACACAGTATTATTATTTTGCTATTGCATTTGTCAACACTGGTAAATTTCATTCCTATTTCAAATGGAAGTACACACTGTGCTTACACAATTTCAATGACTATAATTTGGGTCAAAGCAAATATAGGTATTTCTGTTGTAACAACCTGGTTATTAATAGTTCAGCTCTAATCTTCCTCCATTATTCTAAGAATTTTCTACATTGCTTAGGTATGTTGTATTCCTTATGTATGCCTTAGGACATTTTGTACATTAAGTCCCTTTGAGATAGCAGTATCAATCTGCATAGTTCTTGGGAATGTGAATGTTCTACTAACTGTGTATGCTGGCATAGTGTTTTGTTTCTTATTGTAAACTTTTTAATTCTTATTGTAAGTTCATCTTTAGCAAGGCTGTTTTCCATGGAGCTTTAAATACTCTGAGCTGCAGACACATCTCTAGTAGATCTATTCTTTAAATTGTTCTTCCTGGGAATTCCCCATCTTCACTGGTTTCAGACCAAGACACAGGTCTAGGTTTTCCCTTTTAGCAGAGAGCCTTTTCCTCATGTGGTTCAAAGACAAGAGAGTCAGGTTTATTTCAGGTGTTGGACTTCATCCCAGACTGACATTAAATCTCAGGCCTGCAGGTATATATCTGGGTTTTTTGATGTCCCTATGGATTTTTTTCTTTACAAAGCAAAAAAGTACTTCTAGCTTGGAAGTGTGTGTGTGTTTTTTAATGATTTTTTCTGTTTACATTATTGTTTATTTTACAACCTTTACTTCCCCCTCCCCCACCCATCATCACCATAGCCCCCATATTCCTCTCTCTTTCCGCTCCTTCTCTATACCCCTTCCCTGTAGGATCTGTCTAGTTTATAATGATCTGTTTGTTTTTGTACTGTTTTGTTGTGTTTTATATTATAATAACAATACACTCCCCCCCCCCCTTATTTGGAAGTTTTAAAAAATTTCTGGCCTCTGGAAATTTTGTAATTTTGAGCTTGATAATCTAATAAAATTTCTTTGCTTGCCATTACTACAAATTACCTTTGCATTTTGAACATGAGAAAGAATGTCCTGCATTCATTCCAATGAACCACATTAGGCAGAAGTCTCCCCTTGATATCTCTATAGGTCTGTCTGTCTCCCTGGCAGTTGGAGTACTAATCTCTATAAATCTCTATCAGATTAACTGGGAAACATTGGGCACACTAGCACCAAGTGCTTGTGAACTCAGGAGAGAGTTCAGATTCTCCGGAGGATATTAAGCAGCATGGTAGATAATGCCACATATACATGCAAATTGCCAAAAAAAATTGATTTCTTTTCGAAAGCCAAATTCTAACTAAATACTAAGATTGGTGCTGAAGGACACATTACTATTTAAGAATAGGTCCTTAGGAGAGATTAAAATATTTGATTCACTGGTCTAGCTTATGTGCCCATGGAAGCTGAAAGACCTGAGAAACTATTTATAGCGCCTCAATCCCACTGAAAAGGTGGTAAAGCTGTGTGCTTGTCACCCTTGTTCAAGCAAATTCTTGCACTACATAGTATCTACAGAAACCCAGAACCTAGTGCAAGTACAAGAATTTCAAGCACAGGAAAGTGCCTTGGACCAGGTAATTGTGTCTAACAGCTTATCGCGCCCTAACTTCTGTGATTCTGGAGAGAATCCCTAACTTGAATGGATTGGCCTTGTCTGATGTATACTTTAAATATATTTTAAAAAATATAGAAATTTAAATAACAATTATTAAAAGATGAGGAACATACTGGTGTGCATTAAACAATCTAGACTTTTCTGCATGCTTCAAAATTCTCACATAAAAAGGCTATTAAGAAAAGCTTGGCCATTTTAATGTGATTGAAATTTCTATTCATATGTCAAAACACTTTCAACCTAATAACAAACCAAATTACAAGGTCCACTAATAGTCTCTTAAAATGCTTTTGTTTCCTAAATAGATAGCCATAAAAGGTCATTTGCTTACTAGGAAGTTAATTGTATAATTCTAAGTAGCAAATTTGGGAATACAAGCTTTTAGTAAGCATGTTTCTCATAATTTGAGTTATCAACCACATCTTTAAGAGTTTAAAATAAACAAAGCAATTTGCACTTTAAGGACATAAAATCTATATATAAAATGTAAATATAACCCCTACCAATGCTATAAACTGTAGTACAAAGAAATTTTTCAACAATTTTAAACAAACATTAATCAAACTCCGATCGAAAGCATGAGAGATTTTGTTGCTGGAGTTCTATAACTACATAAAGTATAGCTTTCTGTGACATAACTCAATTACAACTATTTTGAAAATGTACTCATCAAATAAACTAAGAGGACAAATGGTAAAGTATAGATTCATCTGCATGCAAAGCAAGAGATCAAGTTCTAACACCACAGATCACTGCTTTGACAGGATGGCACCTTCTGGACGTGCGCACGTGTATGTGGCATGGTATTACAACATAGTTCCTTCTGCTAAAAACTATTCAATAAGAAGGTGGACTGGATTGGCAAGAACAACAAAAGAAACCAGAACAGGGCGAGATCTATAATCTCGTCTCCAAGCAGGTCTTCTATTGTTCAGCTACTTTAGAAGGTTCTGTAGAATCTGTTTCACAGAAAAGGTCTATGTGTCCATTAAAAACAAGGGAAATATTATGCTGAGAATGGGGAAATGTTGACTTCTTATCTTCTTTACCGGTATCCTTAATTAAGGGAGCTTCTTTGAAATAACCACTTGTCACTTAAAACTAATTGAATTATCTGACAAAAGAAAATATTTAATGTAAATTCAGATATGCAGTATATTAGAAAAATAAAGGATTAAAAACTACTACCATAAAGCTCACTCTTTAAGGGTCATCATGCTCTGTCCACTATTTAATAACTATCTATCAAAAACTTATATGGTGCTGTTTTGAGTTATTTCACCCAAGATGACTACCTATTGATTCAATATTTTTTCTTTGCCTTGAAATCTCTGTAGTTTCATTTGATTTTCCACATCTAATTTTCCTTACTTTATTTTCCTTTTGTTAGGAACATAATTTTTAAATACCTTGATGTGTTTTCCTTCTTCTACAAATAATACCTATCCCATACTATACTTTGATTTTATTTGGGTAACATCATTCTCTATTTGGTAATATTTCATTAGTAATATTGATCTGTTAAAATGGTTCTTGGTCTCATATTGGAATTTAGTTGGTACTTAATGACAGTGGAAAATCAGTAAAAAGGCAATAAATTGGGTGAAAAGATCAAAGCATTTTTTCCTACCAAGAAAATCATCCTGAATCACCTTCCATTTCCAAAAGGAGGTTCTATGTTACTATCAGGACAATGGAATAACTGTTTCTTCTAACTCCTCAGGATTTCCTGAAACTTTTTAGAAATATTCAAGGTTATCTAAAGGGCAGCTTTGGGTAATTTTTACTCTTCATTCTTGTTTCAAGTAGCATGACACTTAAGGCTAGCTTATTTGACGCTATTTAATTGTTAATATTATAATGTTCTTAAATGGCAAAAATCAATTTTGCTGAAGAGTTAATGAGTCTTTAAATACAAAACTGTAAAAACTACCAATACAATAAAAGCAAATGTTAACTCATAAGGGATGAAAAGAGTTTCTGTAAAAAATTGATTAAATTTTACAACTGCTGTCCCTATCGATAATTTTATGATTGCATAGCATGACTTTGTTTGAACAAATTTTTAAATACTGATTCATGAAGGTGTGTAACGAAAAAAGCAAATACTTTGTAAAGGATGATATGAGAAATTAAAATCACCAGGAACAAATTTTAAACACTGATTCATGAAGGTGTATAAAGGAAAAAGCAAACATTTTATAGCAGTTTATCTATTGCATGTCAACAGGAAATTTGTAAAGGGCAAAATCACCTATATATAACAAAGGCTTACAATTTATATAAAAACCTATAAAGAGTACAGAGGAATACTAAATATAATTTTTTTAAAAGATATATTTATTCATGCATACAAGAACTGGGGTAGAGGCCAGAGATGCTGTGTTGGGGCGGGGGAAAGGAAATGAGAGGATTCACCAGAGAGCAGAACAGGCAGACTGACTGAAATACAATGCTTAGGGGAGCAGGGGGCAAGTCGGGAGAGGTCTGCCATGCCTCCCTGGGTCACCTCCCTGGCTGGGAATGGAAGTCATGCTGCAGTGGCTGTGGTAGCTTCATAGTGCTGTGCTTTTAACCTGTTGCAACACCAGGAAGGGTCCCTAAATATAATTTTAGTAAGTAGTTCTCAGTTTTCTTTGCAATGGTTAGACAATTTGAAGCTTAATTCAACAATGTGGGTTAAAAAAGCATCAGGGAAAAGTAAAGTAAATGATTATATATACCTAAAATTAGATGATAAAAAAGTAATCACTGTTAAGTTTACAAGAGGCTATTATTTTAAATTTCTCTTTGATCATTTACCACCAAAATGAATTTACTTGTGATCATGAAAATTTTTGTTCTTTGTTAGCTACTCAGTAAATATTTTTGAATATGTACTAGTCATCATGTTAACTGTAATTTTATAGACTGAAAAAGGTAGTTGTGCTTTTTAAAATGTTCTGTTTATCATATGTATTCTAAAAATGTGTAATTAATTTTTTTTTCTAGGAGGTCTAAGAACATATAACAAAGTAAGACTACAATGTTGACAAGATATAATTTTTATCAGTGTATTTAAGTTACTGCATCCTTGGTCAAAGAATAATGCAAAGCAGGGTCTCTTGTCTCTACTAAGTCAAGGCATATAAAAAGGACTTTGAAGCAACCCACTCATACCTTTAGTCTTAAAGGAGAAGTTACAATATGTGCAGTGATAGGGGCGGACATCTGTATGGGTTCGTATGTGTTTCTTTAACATACTAGGTTTCTTACAACGTATTCCACATTCTTCACAAATGTATTTTCCTCTTCCCCTGCCTCGGACATACACATATTCTTCATTTGATTTATATCTAATTTAAAGGAAAAGAAAAGGAATAGATACTATGGATACTATGCTTTTAGAAAATATTAATGATTAAAATTCAACCTAAAAAATTAAAACAATGCACAATTTTTATACTCAATACAAATTTAATACATGCAAATATAACAGCAGTCCAGCTTTTACATCCAATAATTATTAACAGTTAATTCTAATCAAGTTTATTCAATACCAGTTCAATTTAAAAAATATTTCCTCTTTTTAAGCAATTGGTCTAAAAGTCTTCTTTATTTTTAATCTCCCCCAAAACAAATTCAATCACATTTTAAGTGCTAAAATATTTGAGTTTCACCCTAAGTACAATGGACTTTCACAATTTGTTTTTCTCTCTTAATCAAATACAGGCATTAATTCATTTCTTCAAGAGCAGATTTTCCTAGTTATTCCTTTGTTGTAAATCAACATGAAATCTTGGGTTTACTATGGAAACTCAGTTCTGAGCAGCCTCCTCAGTTCAATAACATTCTAAATAATTATTTTTTCAATTAAACATTACTTAACACTACATATATTTTGTCATGAAGAGTCTGTTCATAAACTGAGGAACTTTCAACATTATAGAAAATTGGCACTGTCTTCATTCACATGAAATCAAATGTACATTTAAAAAGTCAGTTTAAATGTACATTTAAGAAGTAAAATTTGTACTTGCCCTCCATCAAATATTTTAATTCTTCTTGGTTCACTTTTGATTAAGGAATTTTCTTTATCTTGCTCATTGTTAATTTCAGAGGAATCTTTATTGTTGAATTCAACTACTGTGGACTTTTGATTACCTAATGCTCTCTGAAACGAAAAAAAAAAAAAGAGAGAAACTAATTTAATAAAACTGAAAACATAGACATACTAATGTTTCACTTGGAAATTAAACATGGAAGAGTTCAGGCTATATAGTTAAAGAAATGCATTTCAATGTAGAAACAGGTTTATTTGCTTTGTCTTCTCCCTTATATCTTTAATATAGCTACCCAAACCATAGTAAAATGATACGTCTAAAGCTATTTAAAAATTCCACTCCAGTGCACTGACACCCCCAAATAAATGCTTTACAACTTCTCACCTTGGTATTCCATGAGTTTAACAGGAACTTTTTCAACAGACTATTCTTTCCTACATCTAACCTAACCATTCATACTATAATTTAAGAATATCCCTTTGTAAAAGAACTATTTATTCCTCTTGATATACTAATGCTTTGTAAGCTAAGAAACAGGAGTAAAACCCCTTTGACTAAAATGTATTGTAAATCTAAAAGTAGACGTCTCATTTGCCAATATTTTACTTTCCCTTCCTCCCCTTAGCTTAAATCATAAAATGGCTCTCCATTTTTCACAAGTTTCTGATAATTGTGAGATCTATGTCAGGTCAAAAGTCAAGTTTTGGCCTAAAAACAAATCTCTAAAAAAAGGTAATGGACATTAAAATAAGTGTTTTTCCTATAGATGTATTATACTATCATCTAATTTTATACAAGATTTCACATGAAGATTCCTCACTCCGTGGCCGTTCCGCCACGCATACCCTTTCAGTCAGATTGCAGAGGGAAGCGTAGTCCTATGAGAAAAACGCTCTCAGGGTTAATACATTTATCCAGGTAAACTGTGAAGAGCAAAGGCTCAAACTTCTGTTCTTTAGGTGATCCAACACAAAGTACACATTTCTCATCAACGCCTCTTGGTTACAAACATCCTTTACAAGCACATCACTAAGGAATACAGCTTTGGTGGTAATGGTAGGGCATGTACCTTGAGGATGGAGGGCCTATATGGCTTCACAAAGTGTACTGTGAGATCTCTATCCTTACAAAACCAGGAACATAAGGAAAGGTGTTGGCTCAAGTTTCTCAAAAAGGCCTATGAAGATAATGCACAGAGACCCTGATAAACAGAAATGTTGTGACCCCTTTGCCTGGGAAAGACGTCAGCTTCCTTTGAGTTTGGAAAACATGAACATATACTTTTCTTTCCGCATTCACAACAGCAACTCTACTTATTACCTTCAATACCAAATCCCCACTTATCTTCTGCTTGCTTTGTCCCTATCTAATCTGGGTTCGATTTACCAAAATTACTAATGAGCTAAACACTACAATCACTATCATTTCCTTAGTCTTATATGTTCAAACACTCCATATCATTGTATATTGCTGAGTTTCCCTTGTGGACATTTTTTTATATCTGTCTCACCCTTTAAATAATAGTGATCCCCAGGGTCTCTTAGAGGCTTAAATCTCTTCTTTCCACACTCCCTGAACAATCTCACTAATTAAAATGAACTTTTAGTTTATTTGCAGCTCTCTCCTAGATTAAAACCTAGGGACATTCATTTTCAGAGGTACTGCTACCAAAGCATCTGGTACTCCTGGAGAACGGAGAACCACTTCACCACTACACATGAAACTCCACCCAAATCTTTATGATCAGGTCTCATCTTCCAATATTATGACTAAACACATCTATAGTTAAATCTGAACACTTAAAAAAATTAAATTCCACAAAGTCTGGATGTAGTCTCCTTCACTGAGAAGTATGTTAATGGTTCTTGACTGCAATGCATAGTCTGCTTTTTACCAACATTTCCAACTTCCATGTCAGGCAGTGTCTCAAGCTTAACACCTTCTAATAATGATGGACTCCTCAGAGTTCTTTAAATAAAGCAAGTTCTTTCTCACTTCTATGCCATTTGGCAGACTATTAAAATTTCTCATTCTTGTTTGCCTCAACTGTTTTGTTTTAAAGATTCAGTTATCAGTTTTAAATGTTTTCCTTATATCCATAATTCATCAATATATTGATAGTAATAGACTTCCTTTTTTTAGAAGTTGTACACACATCTATTGTAACATCAATATTATGACATATATATGTATTTGTTGATGAGCCTGCCTGTATGCTTTTGAACATGTCAGTAGGACCTAATCAATAATTTTGAATGGCCACCATGATACCCTTACCCATTTATTTATCCTTAGCCATGAATTAAGCCAACAACTCTAATGAGACTGATGCCACAAGCTACCCAAAGCTATCATACAATGTTCTATGTAAAGCTTGATTAATCAACTTAATTAGGAGGTGTAATGAGTCATTTTGTGAACTCTAATACTAAGATGCTTTTCAGAACTACACAGGAGCAAAAGTGGCATAAACATGGTGAGGAAAAACTGCTCACATTTTAAAATGAAATAGATCAAAGCTCCGTTATTCACATATCTGTTTTCCTGCATTTGTAGGGACAAAATATAAACACAATCTGCTCTCATTTAACAGTAACAATTAACCCTTAACATAGGAGAAAGATGAAAGTAAAACAAAAAGTCTTTACTACCAAGTAAAGACATCAACATTCCACTGAGGAAAAAAATAGGTGCTGGGACAAGTTATTTTCAAAAAGTGTCTTAGAAGGTCTAAAAAGAATTCCAGGTAAGCCTGATCAGTAAAACTCCCAGGGAAAACCTATTATCCTTTTTTTACAATAACTATACACATGAGCTATACACTTGTCATTCAAAATTAAAACACACCTTCCAATTAAAGTATTTTAATGCATCAAGACATGAAAACTAATTTACACAAACTATTTTTGAAGAGAAATGATATTTCAAGTACCTTGTTTAAGTTGCTTTTCCACTTGCTTGAATAGACCAGTAAATCTGATTTGGAATGGGTACTTATTGCTTCACAATATAGTGATTTTCCAGTCTTCTGTTTCGAATTAAGAAGAGAAAGAGCAACTTTTGTAGGCAAGCCAAGTGGATTTGGATTACTGTTGCTTACTATCCAATCAGTGTAGGCTGAAGTTTTCCGGTCACCCTGAGGCAAATGCAAGGACTTCTGTCTTAACAGGTAACACCATGTAAAGCTGGTAGTAGTCTTCAGGCTGGGGAAAGACAGCTGCTGGGCATCCCCCACATCAAGCACTGGCAGAGTGGTGGCTGCTGGCTGACCCCGTTTGAGGATATTCACTTTGTTGCCTTGATTTTTACCTGCTGGAGACTTCCTTTCTTGGTGATCGTCTGTACCTTCCAAAGGGGAAAGGTGAGTGTTTTCTGAAGGGACAGATGGGTTTTCCACTTTAAGTGACACAGATGACTTTATATTTTCCAATTCTTGCAATTCTTTTATAGTTTCTATAACTACAATCTTAGAGTGTCCTGGTGCCAAATTATCAGCTGCTAAAACTTCTGTCAAATTACCAGCCTCACTACTCATTTCTGGTTGAGAAAAATTATCCTGTTCCAATATTACACCTTCAAGGGGCTCTGTAGTACAAACTTGTCTCACTAAAACAGGTTTCTTCTGTTTACTAACTTCATTAGTTTTTGAATTCAGTGGTTCCAAGGATCTAATATCTGCTGTACAAACAGCTCCATTTTCATCCTTGGCCCGTTTCTGATGCTTTTCCATGGCGATATCTAAACTATTTGCTGGGGAAAGCATCCTTTTACTTGAAGCTGAAGATTCTTGTTGGGGGGAAAGTCTACCAATAGACATTTTTTGAGTTACGGGAAAGGGTTTTGATAGAGAATTTGAGCCTGTATCTGAGAAAACATTTTCACAAACAAGCACTTCCTCTGGATTTGGCAAAGCATTCTGGTAATCTTTTTGTGATTTTGGCACAGAATTTTGTTCTTCACCAACTGGCACTACACTACAAGAAGCCTGGCAAAGTGGCTGGCTGGACAGATCTTGAGTCACTAGAATTTGTGGTAGAGATGTGTCTGTGGCAAAACAGTAAGCTGGGACATTACCTTGCCGACGCACAGGCGGTATAAATGACGACGTCTGACCACTGAGTGGCCCGAGCGTCAGAGGTGGCAAAGGATGTGTATTCGACATGGCATCCACTAATTTGGTTGGTAGTGCCAATGGAGTCCCAAGATGATCAGCCTGAACTGGATCTGAAAGAACATCTTTTGGCAAAGCATGTGCAGGCTTAGAAGAGCAAGACTGGCTTGAAGTGAAAACCTGACACTGAAGTTGGTACTTGGGAGCAAAACAGTCCTCATTGTTAGAAGACACATGTAAACTGGGACTTTCCTCTGGTTTGACACGCTGTGTACACACTTGCCGAGACATCTGTGCATTTTGGTGGCTAACAGGTATGTGGATCTCATTTAACAAATGAAAACACTGTTGGACAGGAAAGATGTTAGCAGAGCTGTGGTTTGAAGTTTCTGCCTGCAGATCTTTCACTTGAATCTGGGAGTGTAAAGCATTTTCAGGAAGTTCAGTTAAAGATGTACTAGTGGGCTGAGGTCCCTGAAATGGTGCCCCATTCACTACTGGGAGAGTAACAGTTTGGAAAGATGAGGGGTTCACAGGCGACAGATGAGTATCTGGAGCGATATTTAAAGATATCTGCCGAATCAATGGCCCTCTCCTCCTTTCCAAGAGAGGTACATGCGTGGTGACACTCACGGCAGAAGGGGCAGCTGGAGGCTGTGGCTCAACAAGGGGCCTCGTGTGGGGTGGGGTTATGCTTCCACAGTCGAATGACTTACTTCTGAAATCAGTGACATCCATTGATGTTTGCATGTAATTAATCTGTTCTGATGCGGCACGCCTCATTTCTCGGTGAGTTCCGGGAACATTAAGAGTATTAGAACCTGCTGGCATCATGATAAACTCTGCTTTATTTAGAAAATCAATTTTGGGGGAAGCCTCAGATTTAGAAATGTCTTCTATGTCTAATGAAGCTGAGAAACTCGAAGTACGTGACAAACTACTCTCCCTGCTTAGACTCCTGGAAAGAGTAGAATCAAAACTTGATTCAGTCGAAGAATTTTCTATCTCAGCAAGACGGAGCCTTTTCTTTTTGGGTGGCAGTTTCTCTGTTGGCAGTTTTGACAAGGTCTCACTGCGCTGGGGCCAGCTGAATTTCTCTGACTTTTCTTGATCATGACCTTGGCTTTCAAGGTCCCGATCTGGTTCTTCTGTGACGAGAATTTCTGGGACTTGGATGTTGTGCTGCCGAACAAGCCTAGAAGGCTGTCCTAACATGTGTCGTTCACTTGAAGTCTTTCTAGAACCTTCCTGAGCATTTGCTAGTGCAGTTTGGTGAGGATGAGGGGTGTTTTGAGGAGGGAGACCTCCCTCCTGGGAAATTCCTATCACTTTCAGAGACCCAGGCTTGACTGTTCTATTCAGCTCTTGGAAAGAAACTGGGGAACCCCTTTCAAGAGACTCAAGCTTATCAAATGAACTGGGTCTGCTCAGTGAGTTGGTGTGCTGAATGACTGAAATCCCATGTCTCTTCAACTCTATCTTGTCTGGGGCAGCTGAGTTTATCTGTTGTTCCATGATGGTGGACAGTTTTGGATCTACAGTCTGGTCAGGGACTCTGGCAACATGCTGAACCTGGGAGTTTTGCAACTGGATATTTCTGTGCTGTTGGTCTCGTGTTATGGGGACATTATGTTTAGAGAAACTGGAAGCCGAACTCAGAGTATTCTGAAATTGAGGGCCTTCATAGCTTTTTGGAGAAGCTCCACTTTCATTTTGCTGAAGTTCATCATCATCTCCAACACTTTTCATTTTCCTTCTTTTTCTTATCTGGGATGTCTGCTCCCAGGCCCCAGTGGAGCCAGCAACTCGGTAATGCAGAATCTGAGGTTGTGTACTGCTAGGCACAGGGCTATGTTCAGGTTCTCTCATAGCTACCTTTGTTTTTGGTCCATGTAACTCTGAACAGTAAAATTTCTTATGGTTTTCAAAATTTTCCAATTTTCTATACCTGTTTCTACAGGTTTCACACTCAAACATTGTCCCACGCCCTTGATGAGACTTCTTCTTTTCTAAATGTGAGCCTGGTGTCAATGACTTGCTCCTTGCTGATAAAGTTTCACTAGTGGCGCTACATCCCTGATAGCTCTCATCCAAAGACTGCCCAGGACCAAGAACATGATTTTCATTTGCTGAAGAGTCTTCTACAGCTGCTTGTCTGACAAGGGGGCGGGGATGTCCACTTTGGGGCACAGAAGTGTTAGGCCCTGATATAAAGACATCATCATAGAAAGCTCCAATTTTGTCATCAAATGACTGACTTCCTCTCAGTGGATGAGATGGAGGTATTATGTTTGCAGGTACTGCAGAATAACCTGTGGTAGGCATAGAATTACTTCTTGTAATAGGTAAACAGTCAAGGGATGGTACAGACAGAAGAAACACTTGCTTTGATTTTTCAGTAGGGGTGAAAGGTGACTTTGGTATATCAGAGCTTGAACTTGTTCTCCGTCCCATTGGTTTTAAATCAAACTGAAAAGAATCCTTAAATATGTATGATTTGGGGGAATCAATACTACCTCGACGTGAGAGAGAGGTTCTTCTTGGCTTTACACTGTCCAGTTGCTTATCATCTACCAAAGCTTCATTATCAGAAATCAGTTTTGAAATTCTTTCTTCAAGTGTTTTTGTTGCCAAAGGTGGGCGCATCTGACCGGGCTGCAATGCTTTTTCACCTGCTGGTAAAGTAGAAGGTGCTGGTGTGTTGATACGAAGTGCAGAGGGTGTGATATTCTTATTTGAGTCCTGTTCTGTGGTGGGTAAAGTTCTTGCAAAGGAAATTGGTGGACTCACTGTTTGATCGGCACTTTCAGAACGTGAAAAATAACCAGAATCTGTACTTCCTAAACTTCGAGGACTCAGAAGTTTTCCTTGTTGCTCTTGGGAGTAATCTGTAGCCTGCTGCCTTTGCAACTGGGCATGCACAGTACCTATATGAGATTCTTGCTTTCCTTCTGGATGATTCATGTCCCCTTTTGGACAAGACTTCGTATTAGTCTCTAGGGAGGATACCCAGGGTGGATGTGACAATATATTAGTTACCTGAAGGTCCTTCTGTTTCTGTGTACTAGGAAGGTCAGGCTTAGAATCCGCAACCTTTGGGCTCTCAACTCTTAAAGGGGAAATGTTGACAGGGTGTACCACAACTTTTGGTAACTCTGTCATAGTTTGTGATTCTGAAGATTTGTCTGGAAGTGAAAAGGTACCTACAGTATGGTCTGGATTGCTTGGAATGGGACCTGATTTTGATAAAGCTTCAGAATTTGCTATTATTTTCATTATTTGCACAGGCTGCAGTTCCATGGAGCCTGAACCATTCTGTCTTTCATCAACAGTGCCCTCCTCATCACTTTCCCCACTGTCTTCTACATCCGAGTGGATGCTAAGTGCTTTTGGGGACTCATGTGACAAGAACAAACCACCAGCATCAGGTTGCAAGACAAGACCCAATTTGATAGTATGTGCATGGGATTTTTTGTGCTTGTATAGATTACTTTTAGTCTTAAATGAAAATCCACAGGTCACACAAGGATAAGGTCGCTCTCCAGTGTGGGAACGAATATGCTTTAAAAGCACACTAGGCTTTGCACAAGCTCTATTGCAATACTCACAAATATACTTTCCTTGTTTTTTTGGCTTCTGATCTTTCAGAAGAAGATTGCACATTTGTTCTACACTGTGATTAACAACAGAGGCTATAGGAGCTGAATTATAAACTGTCATGGGGGCTGACTGTGTAGAATGAGTTGGACTTATTGACATAGGTGAAGCAGAATCCACTTGCTGATTTTGAGGAGTAACCTGAGTTCTACTGGAAGGTGAAGTCAGACCTATAGATGATGTAACTACTACATTATAAACTTGTTCAAGCTTGGCATTTTCTTGATTTTGCAGATTTTTCAGTGATCCTGTGAAACCTGAACATACTGGAAGCTGTTGATTAAGTTGGTGAGAGTTAGAAACAAAGTGTTCCTGTTGATTATATGAATGAGAAATAGCCTGCACTGCTACTGGCTCATTCGTCTGAGCAGCAGAAGCATGTACTGTGTATGAGGTACAAGAAGACTGTGATTCAGCAACAAATTCTTGTGAAGTCTGATTGGGAGTATCCATCGAGCTGATTTTTAATTGAGAAGGGGATCGTGCAGTTTTATTTGGTCTCAGTTTTTCTATCTTAACTGCACAAGATGAGCTCTTTTGTGATAAGGTGCTCAGTTCTGGCTCCATCGCTTTCAGTAAGACATCAAATGCGGAGGAACCAGTACTACCATTAGAGGAGATACATTCACTGTGGTCAGTCCTGGTTTTACTGGATAAAGAACTAGGCTCACATCTTCCATCTAGGTGATTTAACTTGTCAGGGTCAGAGCCTTCAGATCTCCACCTCCGCAGTTCAGATGGGTGCTGAAAAATCAAGGGCTTCTTGGGGGAGACTGAGTCTTCGATCTTAGCAGCCTCAGTAATTATCCTTGGTGTTTCTCCATTTTGTCTGGTAAATTGCTTCCCATTTTTTACAGGACTGTGATTCTGCTTCTTGTGAGGCTCTGAAGCACTCTGAAGAACAGTAAAAGATGATTCTTCTGTATTTTGTTTGTGTTTTGCCTGAAGAGGATTTCTCAGTGGAGATTTTGGTATTTTTTTCAGATGATTTTCAGCTACAATCTTTTTCCGTTTCACACCTTTAAGTGATTCTGAAGTTCCTTTAATACCAGCCTCTAAGATTTCTGCTCAAAAAACAAAAACAAGAAAATCAGTTGGCAAATTGGCACACAGACCAACTATATAATCATCATGGGGCCTCCCTGGCCACACAGGGGTACAAGTCTCAGCGCTCTCAAGTTATTGTCAGCTAGTGTGGTATGAGTTCAATCTGTGACCAGGGAGCTAATCCACATGGCCCAGCAGACCTCCCCTGTCTTGCCCACTGCTCCCCTCACAGTATATTTCAGTAGATCTGCCTGTTCTGCTCCCTACTCTGTCTCTGGTGAATCCTCTCACCTCCCACACCTCTGGCCTACAGCCCAGTTATGCACAGATTAGATTAGGGAGGTGGATGGATGACTGATAGATAAATAAAGATAGAAAAAATTACAATCATGGAAGGCATTATAACAATTGAATAAGGTGTTTAAGGGGAGCCTACATTCAATAAAACAGCATTCTAACATTTTGACAATATTAGAAATGCGACAATCAAATCTTTTGAAATAGTCAAGCAAAGACCTAAGTGTGTACTTCTAGAAGAAGTATTCTTCTCTTGATGCCCTGTCTCAGGATGGAACAGATTTGTCCTTGAAACAGATCTTTGAAAACTAAATTAACCTTCGTGTATCATTCCAAAGCTGAGGGCTCTGTCTATGCAATAGTCTTGAAAAACCTAGGCCATAAAAAGTTTTAACTTTTTAGCTAGGCATTTGAGTTAGGATCTTATAGTGAAAATTGTCTGAAAGTTTCTAACAATAGCAGTGCTCTAGAATGTGTAATACCTCACGAGGAAAATAGCTACTATAAAATAATCTTAAGAGCAAACAAATCAGAGGATCATTAGAAAGTATCACTATTATAGCAATAATATAAAAAAGAGGAAAAAAATAACACAATCCAATGTTTATGGTTCTTCAATGAAATCCAAAAGTCATGTTGTAATGGTCCTTTGTTTAAAAATCACTTTTAATAAAGAGAATTAACAAATGGCTGTATCTCTTTAACATTAGTGATAAATCAATAGGTAGGCAGTTTATTGCAGAAAAGAAGAAATAAAACTACCTTCACTACTGACTGTATTGAAAGTAATAGCATTCAAATGGAATTAACTACATGCACTGTCAACTATGTTTTTATCAATAATTACTTGCCAATATTAAGCTTGTTTCTACATATTAAGTATTTAGGCAAGGAAATATTATTCAAGCTTATGTATCTTATTTGCACAAAAGCCAAACATACTAATTCCTCAAAATTTTCAAATAACTGTTGCAAAGGATATAAGCAAAATTTACATTAGATAAAATGTCTACACCTCAATAACTACTTTGCACTTACTGAAGATAAAAATTTACATGAAATAAAAATATTGTGGTCATCTGTGATGTCAATTTGTGTGCTCTTATATATTAATTTATAAAAGGAAATGCATGCTAATAATGCTAAAGAGACATTTACCCAACTCTCCTAGTAAAGGAAAAAAAATAAGAAGGGCAGGGCCTCCTAGATAAAGTTTTTAAGCTAAAGAAAATCAGGAGAACAAGTATAAGTGACTGTTGACACATTTACAAACTGATGGTAAACAAGCATTTCTTTCTTTCTTTTTTTTTAGTCCTCTCATTTATAAAGTAACATTGTCAATGATGGCTCTCAAGCACTTTATGGCTCTCAAGAACTCCACCAGGCAAGAGGTCAAATTGAAAAATGATAACCATCTAGGTTGAGTAGTTTTCCCACTTATTTCCAAAAAGCTTGGAAGTGGGTGGTAATATAAGTGAAAGGCATTAGGCTGCTCAAATAAATATAAAGAAAGAGCAGAGAAAGCACATGGAGGAAAAGAGGTTTCCAGTTCCAGTGACTGTCAGTCCAGGAACACAAAATGTAATTTTTACAACGACCATGGCCACCTATGCACCCAAAATCAGGGCTGAGGTAATTAATATTTATTTTGTGTTGTTAAAACACATTTAAGAAATAAGCTTTTATTTTTACAGAAAGATGTTGCAAAACAAAAATAATAATGTCTTACTCTCCAAAGAAAAATGCAAAAATTCAACCCATAAATAAAACAAATAGCAAACTATACATATGTGTGTGTATACACACACACACACACATATCATGCATATGCTTAAAACAAACAAAAAAATGTGAAATGTAATTTATGCTTAAAAGAAGATGAGTTAGAATAAAAACAATGAAACTACTAGATTTCAGATTCACATTTCTTTACAGAAACACTATTTCCTAAAAATTCTTCTGGAGTTAAGGATTTGAAGAAAGATTTTAAACAGATTTTTCAGAAATGCATGTTTTAGTACTAGCTGAAGACTCAGTCATTTCTATTTTGTAAAGACTATAAATTAAAATTCTGCTCACAGTTGTTTACTCTTAGTTCTCTTTGAATTTTAACATTTCCTTGGTGTTAGTACGTCAATCCCTCCCTTCAAAATATTGTGCACTCCTGTGTCTTCTAGTACTAACATTCATATAAAAAAATCTGGTACCAGCCTTAGTTTCCTCTCCTAGAGGTAATTTCCTTTTTTTTTTTTTTTGCCTGTGTGTCTGCAAAATTATTTTTTAAGTCTATTAATATAATTAAGAGTAAATCCATAGTCAGTCAATGTATAACTTACAATTTTTTTTCTAGAAAACAATGATTATCTCTGGAAGGAAATTTTTGGAAATTTTTTTCTTTTACTGTATCTTCAAATATATTTTCTGTTCAAAACTCTGATGTCAATTATTATTCTGGACCAACCTTAATGCAATTTTTAATTATTTTCATCATTCTGCTTTTGTATGAGCTTTTCTCTAGAATTACCTAAAGATTTTCTGGTATGTTAACAATCCATTTTTAAGAGCATTAAGCTCCTTAGTGTTTTAGACTGATAATGTGTTCTGATTTTGTTCCCTTAGCTCCATTATTTCCCATTTTACTCATCTTATTGTCTCATAGTATGTTTTAGTTCTTCCATTAATAAACTTATGACCTTATTAAATTAAATGCTTAAAAAACCCTTCTGTTTTTGAGGCATCATTTTTCTCTAAGTCTGTTTATAGCCTCTTTTTTTATGTTCTACTTTCTACTGCTTGAAATCATGGGGGATAGCAGGGTGTGGTATAGCATTCAGTGAAGAGTATTTTCATTGTAGTATTTTATTCATGTAAGATTTTGTTGGGTCACTCTCCTCATTCATGAGATAAAGTTCATTCTCATTAGGAGGAACTGGATCATTAGGATGGCCCTGGCTGGCTAATGGGTTAGTATCTAAATTCTTCCTGCTGCTGCTATTAGGAATGAAGAGAATGTGTTTGTACTTGGGGTGTGGGGAGTTTTTACAAAAAAAGTTTGAATTTGCAAACTGGGTTTTCAGACAATGATACCTGCCTTAGTTTCACTAAACATAATCTTGAATAGTTTAAAACCTACTAGAGAGTGTCCAGAGTTATATTCTCTAGCCTTTTATCTATAGTAAGAAACACAATCATAAACACTGTGAGTACATCCACAACCTCTGGTATATAGTTACAAGACGCAATAGTTAAGAGGATATATCAACCAGAATACGTCAAAGCAAAGATAAAGATGCAGAGGAGAATGACAGGCGAACAGCTGTGTTCCATTAGCACTTCTTTTTCAATAACTTTAAAGGCAAATTGTTGTTATAGCAAATTAAACTGAAAATAAATTAAAGGGACAGAGAGATAGATAAAAAGACAAGTGGTATAAGACAACCTAAGGATAATTCCCACCAACCTAGTAACCATTAAGGTAAATATATATTTTGAAGAAGGGCATACATTGCTGAGAATACCACTAGCTGGTTTTCAGAATAACATCAAGAGAACAACAGACTGGAAACAAAGCAGTTTCCTGGTTTAGGGGAGGACCTGAGGTTTCAGTTAAGTATGAGGAAGAATAGTCTCAAAGTAGGTAAAAAGGCATGGCAAAAGAAACTACAACTGAGTTGTATGTTTAAAATCCTGCCTAGCTTGAAGGTAGGTTTCTTTTTCAGATTTATTCAGAAACATGTCAGTGTAAAACACTTAAAATTTTTCTTTGGTTTTTGGTATATTGGGACTACCTATTTTCTAACAATTAGCAATATGCTGGATTAGAGATCTAACAGATCACACAGGGAGACCACTGAGGATCCTTTCATGAAAGAGTTAAAATGTGGGCCCTCCATGGTGGCACAGCAGGTTAAAGCACAGCACTAAGAAGCTTAAGCCAATTCTGCATGAGTTAGATTCTGCATGAATTCGATCCCCCGCCTGCCCTGGAGAGATCCACATGGCACGGCAGACCTCTCCTGATCTGCCCGCTGCTCCCCTCAGCAGTGTACTTCATTGATCTGCCTGTTCTGCTCCCCAGTCTGTCTCTGGTGAATCCTCTCACCCTCCGCATCTCTGGCTGTACCCCAGTTCTGTATGAATAAGTAAATCTTTAAAAAAAAAAAAAAGTTAAAATGTTATTCATCTCAACCAGCGACAGTGAGTCTGTTAATTAACAACAATAAAAAAAGAAGAAAAAAAAAGTTAACTTTGCTAAAGATTCTGCTGAGTTATCTTTACCTGTGAGGACTTAGCTATTTGGAAAGGGGGAATTAATTTATTTTTCCATCTTACTGCTTCTCAAATTTAGTGTACATGCACAGAATTATAAATTGTAGCTACAAATTGAGAAGTAGAAATTTTCAATGGGGGAAATGGTTAGGCTAATTATGGCATAGCCACTTAACATAACATTAAACATCAATTTAAACTAATTATGAAGATTACACAGCAATATGAAAATTACAATACTAAATGTATGTACATATTCTTTTCCTTCCCTAGAGAAAAGTCTGGGCTCAGGCATAGAACTGGGAGTAAAGATGATGACAACTGCTCTTATAAAATTACAAAAATAATAAGCTAGAAAGAATATATAGTAGAGAAGTCTGACAGCAGAAACTTAGTCATCACTAGAATTAAGATGAACTAGAAATGAAAAGAAACACAGGGGTAATGTGAAAGATAATAAGTGAAATCCAGTATGTCAGGGTTTGAGGACAGAAGGAAGATGTGGCCAACAGTGTTAAACACTACACAGAGTCAGATAAATAAGACTAAATAAGAGAGCACTGGAGCTGGCAGTGACTGGGTCGAGGAATACATCCTTATCTCAGAGAACAGTTGTGGATTGGTCCCGTAAAAACCTGTATCACAAAAAAAGAGCATGATGAAGTTTACGGACCAGCAAATATTTTTTGAAAAAAACATTTGAAAGTCCAGATGTTATTATCAGAGGAAGAGAATGGAAAGTTAGAAAGGGTTGAGTAGTTTACAAACAGGAAGTATAAATCAACAGAGAGAAGGAGACTGAAATGCAAGATAAAAAAATTAAAGTGTGATACCTATACTCGAGTTAAAATTAGATGTACCACATGGATGTAGGAACTACCCATACCACGTAGCAAGCATTTGGAAGCCATATTCAATGCACACTCTTCCCATTACTCACAGAATGTAAACATTATCTTGGCCAGAAGATGGCACAGTCATCTGGCTCCACCTTTCTGATCTCCTTCCATACCACTTTCCCCTTATTTTTTGTGCATCAACCGACACTGGTGAACTATAGGCTATTATAGCAGGCCCATGTCCTGCTTGTCTGTGGGAGTTTGTATTGGGTGTTTCTTGAAAAACTCCTCCTAATCTCAACTCTCTACAAGACTAGATAATATTCAACCCATGTTGAATGTAGGGCTTAACATTCATGGTCATTACCCCACTACACCTAAAGCAGGTGGCCTTGTGTTGTCTACCCACCCTGCTAATTCCCCTCATAACAGTATCACAATGACAAACACCCTCTTTATGTACTTTTGTCTACCTTCTAATTTTGATATGAAACCTATAAGACCATGTCTTTATTATTCATTCCTACATATACAGCCCTTACTAGGGATGGATGAAAGAATTCTCTAAGTAGGAGAAAATAAGGGATAAATGAAATTCCAATCAATTCTTTGTGAAGTTAGAAATTTTACCAGTAAGTTGCCTATTTTAAATAACAATGATATACCATAAAATACAACATCAATTCCTTATTTTTAAAAATGAAAACACTTGAGTCTACTTTGGAATGTAAAAACTTGAAGACGGTTGCTTCTACCCTAAAGATTAGAAAAGTGCAGAAATATCACAAAAATCAGAACTTCCTTTGAGCCCATCAGATAGTCAAGGGCAACCAAACAGCCTGACCTCAAAGGACAGAAACATGTACTGGCTCACACAGGGCCACGTATGGTAGAAGATGCGGGAGGAGGATGTGGTAGTCATGCAATGAGTGAGAAAATATCACCTAAATTCTAACACTCTTGGAAGCCCAGTGTGTATTGATTTCAATGGGCCTCAGACACACAGGAATTCACTCACTTTCAGGCTCTTTTCCTTGTGTATACAGAGTAGGCAAGTAGAGAAAGTAGCCATATGCAAGAGGGAGTCGGCTGCCTTTGTGAAAAAAGCACAAAGCCACAGGCCCTGCCTGATAGCTTCTCTTGTGGAGCAAAAGCCTTACACTTTAAATTAACCATTTGGGAGAGAAATAGTAGAACCATCATCCACAGAGCATGGGAAAGCAACTGAAGCTTCGAGAAGGGTAGGAGAGAAAATGTTCTAATCGACAGAAGGTAGGAAACTGTCTTGGGGTCAAAAGTCCATACTAATAAAATTAGAGATTTGCTGCTGTGAGTGGGCCAGGAAAAACAGTTAAGTTTTCCTCATTCCTAAGAATGAGGCTAGGTGGGGATAATGGGGCAATCTTCAGGTACCCCTACTACCAGGGAGTACCTGGTAGTAGTGTACTCCAAGGAGAGGGAAAGGCAGTGGAGTGAATCCAGTCTACACCAAAGGTACAAACACCTGAAAATTGAACATATAGCACAAAACTGAAAAAAGTCCTCCAGATCACCAGTCCCGACATCAGCATAAAAAAATTCAGGCCACCACTAAAAGAATTACAGGCCAGTGTGGAGACTGAAGATAAACCTAGAAACAACAAAATAATAAAATACAAAGTCCAACTCTTAAAGAGACTGTTTCAAACTCCCTGGTAGATGATCTGAAAGAGTAAAAGTGCCTACTCCACTCATTAAAAATTACTGACTTCAGCATTCACTGTTATAAACTATATCCAAAATTCAATAAAAATGTAAGACACACATGTATATGATAAAAAGAGACAAAGAAACTAACTATCAAGAAATAAAGCAATAAAAAACAGACTCAGAGATGACATAGATGTTAGCACTCTAGACAGGAAAATTTTAAAACAACTAAGTAATATGCTAAGAAGTGTAGAGGACAAGGTTGATAACAAACATTCACAGATGGGAATTTGGGCAGACAATAAAATAAAACATTAAAAATACAAGAAAAAATGACAGAGATAAAGAATGACTTTATGGGTTCATTAGTAGACTTGACAAAACTACGGTTTACGTGAACTTGTAGACCAATAAAAATTAGACCAAGTACAAGAAGAAAATTAAAATATATTTGCATGGAAAACAAAATTAGCAAGTCTAAGACCCATATGACAATAGCCAACAATCTAATGTACAAGTGAAATCATAGGAGGAGAATGAAGAAAATGAAATAGGAATATTTGAAGAAATAGTGATCAAAACTTTGCCCCAAATAAACACCAAACCATAATCCAGAGTGTAGAGAACCCTAACCAGATGAATAATAAGAAAAAAAGAATTAGAAAAGAGAAGAAAAAAACAAGAAAGAAAAATAATGGAAGGAAAAAAACCTACCTAATACATTAGATTCACACTACTAAAATCTAAAAATAAACAGGAAAAACTTGAAGGTGCCCAGTGGATAGTAAATATATATATACACACAGAGAATCTGATAAGAATTTAAAGCAGAATTATCAAAGAGACTATGGAGCAGCATTTTTATACTACTGGTGAAAAACAAAACCAAACCAAAAATGCTGACCTGGAATTCTATATGGAGAATAATGGCTTTCAAAATGAAGGTGAAACAAATTTTTCTTTTAAAAGTTGAAAGAATTCACTACCAGCAGACCTACACCAAGACATTATTGAAGAGCTCTGAAACATAAGAAATTTTAATGGATTTGAAAAGTTTCAAGAATTCAAATTTCATCACTTTAAAGTATAATGCAGTGTAAAGATCTTTATTTTGCTCAATATAATGATGTGAGAGGCAAAAAGTGTACACTTAAATCCCTGAAAACTGCAAGCATGTTTACTTACCTGGCACTGGGAACTTCGATGAGATAAAGTCACAGATTTAAGATGAAAAACAGTATCTTGGACCTCATCAAATGTAATCAATTGATGAGAGGAGAGACTTGAATTGCAGTTGCTGGCTTTAAATATGGACATAGGAACCCCGGTGTAATCAGAACTGGACATGACCTTCAATTCACAGCCAACAATGACACAAGGTACTCAGGTGGACAGATAAAGGAATTTAATTGTGTCAATAAGTAGAGCAAGGAAACTGATTCTTCTCTAAAACTTCTAGTAAGAAACAGAGCTTGGCTGACATTTTGACTATAATAGCACAGCGAAACAAAACAAAATCCATGGTTTTTTTTTTTTTTTTTTTTTTTTTTTTTTACAGATTTATTTATTTATTTGTGCATACAGAACTGGAGTGCAGGCCAGAGGCTCAGGGGCGGTGAGAGGCTTCACCAGAGACAGAGCAGGGAACAGAACAGGAGATCCACGGAAGTACACTGCTGAGGGGAGCAGCGGGCGGGTCAGGAGAGGTCTGCCACGCCATGTGGTCACCTCCGGGGCAGGCGGGAATCGAACTCATATGGAAGCGGCCTTAGATTCTCAGTGCTGTGCTTTAACCGCTACACCACCAAGGAGGGCCCAAAACCCGTTTTAATATACAGAGCTGCAAGTATTTTTTAACTGCTCACTTACAGCAATGGTTACACAGCAACAGAAAACTAATACGGGTAGACATGGGTCACATGTGAATATTTAAAATTAAAAACCGTCTGCAGCTCAAAAACTTAGAAACAGCATGTTCTCTGAACACAAAGAAATTAAAGAAGAGATAAATAAAAATCTGGGAAATCTTCAAATATTTTTAAGTAAACAACATTTAAAAATTGCTTAGATGTCAAAATGAGGCATAGAAAAAACATGCTAAAAACATTTATCATGCTAATGACATACAACACTCAAAATAAAAATCTAGAAAAATCTCCTCTGAGGTTTGGGACTTTGAAAGAATTCTTGTAATAGCTAATGTACTTTTAACCACTTACCCAGATGATTTGCCTAATGTTATAACAGAATAAAAAACAGAAATGAGATATAAATGATGGTATGGAAAGGAAAAGCATTATTTTCTAACAATGTAATGGCTTCCTAGGGTAACCAAGAGAAATAACTGAAACTCTACTATCGCTAACAAGAGTTCAGTTATGATAACTTCCTGACAAAAACATAGAGAAATAAATCTGTTCATTATGCCAAAAAATATATATAATGGGAAAATATTCTCTTTATAACAGCAACAAAAATAGGAAAATGTTTAAAATAATTTAACACAAAATATATAAAAATTAAAAAAGTTAAAAATTAAAGTTTCCTGATGACTAATGAAGGGATCAAGGACTGCCCCTTACTACTAGAGAATCTTTATTTTAAAGATATCAACACAATTCCCAAATGTGTAAATTTTATGTAATTTTAAACACATTTTTAAGTATGACATGACTCTTCATTTGTGTGTCTAAATACTCTAAATTAAGCCATGAAATTCTGAAAAAGAACTATATAAAGACAACTAAATGGAGGAAAAGGACAGAAGTGCAAGAAGATGAAGTCAGCACCTACGTCTCCTGAGGCCCAGGGCATGTTTCCTACCCAGAAGGAGCAACTGAAAGGAGCTAGGAGTGGACATGAAGCCAAGGCATGCCATGCATGGAATTCTTAAAAAGACCTACCTACCTGGTTTTAGGTGAGGAATTGTAGGAGCAATATTTGAGGAGACAAGGTCTGTTTTTGAAAACTAATGAAACACACAAATCTACAGATTTGAGTGCTAAAACCACAAGAGAAATAATACTAATTCACTGTGAAACTGCAAAAGTCAGAGACAAGGGCAAAGAACTTAAAGAATGTATATTGATAGAGATCATACTACCCAAACTAAACAAAAACAAGCCCTAAAATCTGACAGCAGAAGTAAGCCTATCAGAGACTGAGGTTGTGGATGAGAAACAAAGGGACCCAAGAAACTGGTGAAAGAATATCAGTGCTTTGGTGGTGGGTGTGTTGTGATGACATAAATCTGAAGAGATGTGAACCTATACCTCTGAACATATAATTCTGTAAACCAATATTATTGCAATAAAAAGTCACACAATGTTTTAAAAAGCAAAAAGCACGTTACTTTCAAAAGCACTAATTAGACTCAAGTAATATTGCAACAGTAAGAATTTATAATTCAAGGAAACAAAATTTGGGAGAATTCAATGATAGTCTCTTCTGTACTCAGAAAAAATTAATTCTGAAGGATGAAAACAGGCATTTTCTAATAAATGACACATGAAATAATTTGTCAGAACTGACCTGTCACTAATGGGAAACTAAAGGCTAGTTTCAAGTTTTTTTTTTTTTAAAAAAGCATCCCAGATAGACAGAATTTTAAGATGAAATAACAACAACAAAAAAGATTAATATGGGAATAAAACAAAATGAGTAGAAATATCATGAAAAATAACAAAGCATATGAAATTCACATACATGCTAATAATAACATTTAAGTCCAAAGCAGGATAAATGGACAAGTTCTTCAACGATGAAGGCACTGATGTAAGGAGCAAGAGCCCAGAAACTTGAAGTCAGTAGGAACAATAAACAGCAGCCTCAGGAGTAGCACTGTGCCTCAGTAAGCACATCAAGGGAAGATGAGAGTGGTTCTTAGACCATTTCATGAAAGAAAAGATATGTTTTACCAACTAAAATTAAAGCTTTAATACGCTTGAGGAATACATAAAAAACAATCAGAACACAGGAGCCAATTGTGAAGAGGAACCCCAGCCCTGAAAAGAAAGAATGGAAAAGAATTTAAGGCCAACTTCCTAAGAAGTCCAGGAATCATTTAAAGATGTAATCACTGAAAGGTAAGACATTATTAAACTTATTAAATGCTTTGTAAAAAACTGCTCAAAGGAAATAGAAATATAAGATATGAGTGAGAAATCTGAATTTGCCATAGTAGCAGGGTCTGATTGTAGCTGGGTCAGGAAATGAAAAATAATATATAGGCTTTAACAACAACAACAAAAAAAATGTAGTAGAATAAAGCCACACAAATCTTACTTCCTTACAACATTTTGTTAAAATAAAAAATTTCATCTCTAAAGTGTTTCTGTAACATATAGGCCATATATGGCACAAAAAGCATAGGTGTTATTCTTATACAAGTAATTAAATAATGAAATGCTCAGCACCAAGCCAAATCAATAAGCAAATTAAGAACTCAACTAATAGTTGCTTACTTGACAATAATTTAAAATAATATAGATCTGGGCCCTCCCTGTTGGCGCAGCGGGTTAAAGCACTGCTCTGAGAAACTAAAGCCACCTAC